GAGTAACACAGGGAGGAGAAAAAAAAACACAAAAACAACCTGAAAAACAAAAGAAACCCACTACTACCCTCAATTTCAAACTTTTATCTGTTTCTATGTGGTTATATGCATGATACTATTTCATACTTCTAAATACTGAAAGCCAAAAGTTTAAAGGCTTTAACATCTTTATATATCAAATTTTAAAAAATTGGTTTGAAAAGTAGTTCATGGTGAAAGGAACCCGTGGGAGAGGCTGGAAGAGAAACTAAATGGGGATTAAATGGGAGACCACGCAGAAGTAAAGTCTTGAATTATGATACTCAGATATCAGAAATCAACAGGGAAAAATGACTTCCAAAAATGAAAACAATCTAAATGTCTGGTAACATAAAATGAGTGCCTAAATTACGTCCCATAAAGCTGATGGGCTAGCAACCCTGACTGCTGAGCTTCAGGACAAATGTTATGTCAAGTAAAAGAAGACATACTCGCGTGTGAAACGCAATTAGCTATGTAATGTCTGCATATGGAAATAAGAGAAACATTAAAGTGAAATGTCAGGGTGATAAGGGTATAAATGAACATTTCCTCCTAGAATGTCCTTTAGTGCCCTGGTGTGGTGCTACAGGCTAAGCAATGGACTGCTAACTGCAAGGTTGGCAGTTCAAACTCACCAGGTACTCTCAGAAACCTTCTACAGGGTTGCTATGAATTGGAACCAACTCAAAGGCACACAATAACAACATTTTACGATTTGGTTTCTACAATAAAATAAAAATAGAAAAAATGATAGCTATTAGAAAGATCAAGTTACTTGCTCTCAGTTTCAAGACCCTTGATTATGTTGGATAATATATTAACCCTAATAGTAAATCAACAGTTCTGGAAATTATGGACAGCAAAGCTGCTATCAACAAAAAACAAAGCTTGAAATATGTGACTGTTCACAGAGAATAGAGCAGAACGAAAGCGAAGCCCTTATAAACTAAAAAAAGAGGAAAGGAAAAAGAAAGAGCTCCAACTTGAACCATGCTCATACTTTTCCAGTGCTACCACCATTTGTGTTCTTTGCTACACGTGACTAAAGAACTGGCATAAATTTCTCGATTATATGGTCAGGGTGAAATGAAATGTCAAAATGCCATTTAAGAGGCAAATGGTCATGCTCTCAAACCAGCACAAATTTCCCTTTCTGGAATTTAAAATCTCAAGTTATGATTGCAATATTGTTGTCAAGAGCCGACGAGTCGATTCCAACCCATAGCGACCCTGCATCGGGTTTCCAAGGAGCAGCTGGTGAGCTTGAACCGCCAGCCTTGTAGTTCAAACAGCTTTGCAGTCTGGTGCATTAACCCACAGTGCCACACCAGCAACAGCAGTATTTAAATTCAAAATCAATCATTTCTCCTAAAGAATTTCATTTATGTATTTTGTAAGCACTTACTAATTCCTTGAACAAACCTAGTCATAATGTTTCGTTCTGTTTTGTTTTACTGTCTCCCTTGTCAAGATACCCAAATATTTTGCAAAGCACTGACCTGTGATGAGTAATGACAAGTACAGCACTCGTGAGTAAGAATACTGATGACATTAGTTTGGTCCTGCGGGCCTTTGGTATGAAAAGCTGTTTGCTTATTTACAATGCCGTGACATCACCCTGCTTCTGAAGAGAGTGGCATCTGTGCTCTGGCTACTCAAACGCTAACTACATTTGCAACTGGGCACTTACTCTGGAAAACTACGGACAATGCTTGCGTCTATAAGCTAGGAAAAAGCTCAAGCATTCATGCTTATATTTACAGTGATAAATGACAATATCTAGCCTACTTTCTTGTCAAGTGGACTGCTTTCAAAATAAATGTACTTTCTTTTAAGCATCCTCAAGAAGTACTTTTTATCAATAACCTGGCAAAAATCTATCCAATTTCCCTAACTTCTTTCTATCACTTAAATACTCACCAACTGCCGACCATATAACAGAGCTATGCTGGGGGAGGGGGGATAGGGGAGGTGGGATCTTGAGATACAGAGGACAACAATGCACAGGTCCTTGTTCTCAAGAAGCTTATCATCTCATGCTATTGAAATAAATATATCCAGTTCAAAATCAATTTAAACCACAGAATCAAAATATTCAGTGATAAAGGAAACAAAATAGGAAATAACATTTAAGACGTTCAGATGCTCAAAATTCATCATATAAGTACCAATTGCAATACTGGTGCCATCAAATCCCCCCTTACAAATACACACACTTGCACAGAGAAAGCTGAACTTTAAAATTATGGTGTTCCTCTGAAGTGAGCTTCCTAAAACAACCCAAGTTACTCTAGCTATGCAGACAGAGATATTATCGTACTTGATATGGATACCACATTCCTATGAATTCAGTGTTTTATACTAGCTTTTCTAGTAGCTATTTCACATCGTTGACTGAGCTGAAACTTACAAATCTTTTTTTATATGAGCTTTTTTTCACATAATCATTAAGGAGGTCTGGTAGCGTAGTGGTTACGAATTGGGCTGCGAACTTCAAGGTCAGCATATCGAAACTACCAGCTGTTCCCACGGGACAAAGATGAGGTTTTCTGCTCCCGTAAAGATTTACAGCCTCAGAAACCCTGTTCAGGGTTGCTATGAGTCGGAACAGACTCCACAGCACATAACTACCACCACTACCACCATTAATCACTGATAGCAAAAGATCTGCAAATCCTGTCATGCAAAAAGATTAAAGGAGTTAAAGACACTTGGGTTAATGTCTGTGGGCTGCTAACATGGAGCCCAACTCTGCTCCATGGAAGTATAAAAAAGTAAAATTTTCGCTCAATATGAAGAAATCCAAATACTTTGGGCTTTCCAACACTGAAGTGCCAAGCTGAAAGTTGAACTCTATGGATGAAAAGAGGTCAGGCATATATGAATGACCACTATTAAGAAAACCCTAGAAGTAATCCTCACATTTGGTAAAAATCTGAGGCAGATTTCTAAGGCTATTCCTATGTTAGAAAAGTTTGTGGCTACCTTGATAGTTGCAGGCAAGTGTATTAAGATGACGGCTACTTTAATGGCAATAGATGCTCTCAAGAAGCAGAATCAGTGAGGCCAGGAACAAGTGAAACACTACTTAACTTCATGTAAAATACGAAAGGCTCGATGACTTTTGGTAAACTGTCACAAGAGGTGCTGGGAGGGAGACCAATGATGGCCAGCCTATTGTACTATGAGTCAACAAGTGGCCTGTCTATTACAACAGCCCCTCCCTCCTATTCCCACTGACTGCAATAAGGGACGGACCGGTCTCACAGGTTCTGGTTTTTCATGGCTGCATAAATTTAAAGGCAATTTCTAGACACTTTCCCCCTAATGCTCTCCCTACTTACATTGCACTGAAAATGATAAAACATCAAGAATCTTCAATGTTCTCCTGTATTTGAGGAAAGTACAAAAAGGGAAGGATGGTCTGATCTGGTATTCTATTTAGAGCAGGATACTAACACGATCACTTCCCTCAGGCCCACTCAAACTTCTAAGTTGAGCTGGCTCTAGCATGTTTTCACCTGTGTCTAGATTTGTGAGACCCGTAAAAGCATGTTTATCATAAGTGAGCTACACATAATTATCAATAAGAAATTTTCAACACCAGGAGCAGCATGAACTTTAGAATCCATCAACAAATATACACCAAGAGGATACTATGAGCAAGAAATTGTTGGGTTTAGTAAAAGACAAATGTCCATCCTGGCTTCCCTTGACTCTGAATATAACTACTTACGGCTATGTAATTTGGTAACATTGTTTAGTCAAGATTATTTTCCAGGAAACCAGAGAGCTGAGAAATGACCATCTTTAGGTAAAAAACAGGCATGTTTTAAAAACTATAAATTTAATTTTCAGAAATCCTCAAAGTTCATAGTTTATTACAATCATATGAATGGTGATGGTGGTTATGTGCCGTGGAGTTGGTTTCAACTCACAGTGACCCTGTATAGGGTGTCCAAGGCTGTAAATCTTTACAGGAGTAGACAGTCTCATCTTTCTCCCGCAGAACCACTGGTAGTTTCGAACCACTGACCATGAGATTAGCAGCCTGACTCATAATCACTATGCTACCAGAGCTCATATAAATTGTTGTTAAGTGCTGTGGAGTTGGTTCAGAGCTCATATAAATAGCTCTTGTAAATTAATAAGAATAGACAAAATGACAGTGTTATTTATAGTATTATATTTCAGAATGTCTTTAAAACATACACATAATCTCAATGCGATAAAATATAGCTTGGAAATTATCAATGCCTCCTTTATTTCCATATAGATTTTAAAAAGTGAAAAGAGAACAAACTACCAAAGCAGATAAAAGCATTCCAAAGCAGGTCTGAGGGGAAAGTCATTGCATCACAGATCCCCAATCAACCAAATTGTCATTCTAGGAGCCAGAGAGCAAGCAGCTTTTTGAGTAACTGCATTTATTTATCTACTCACCAGCAGAAGGAAAGGAGATACCCCACTGCCAGGGAGTCAATTCCGACTCATAAAAACCCTCTACGGGATTTCCTAGACGGGAAATATTTGCCATAACAGATTGCTTCATCTTTTTCCTGCAGAGTGGCTGGTGGGTTTGAACTGTCAACTTTGCAATTAGCAATCTAAGGTTTAACCCACAGTGCCACCAGGGCTTCTAAAGGAGATAAGAGTCTAGTAAATGGGGTAAACTAGACAAAGAGAATTTGCATATTTACGATAGTGAGATTTTATCTCACATACTTTGGAAATATATCAGAAGGGACCCTGGAAAAGGACATCATGCTTGGTAAAGGAGAAAGTCAACCAAAAAGAGGAAGACTCTCAATGAAATGATTGCCACAGTGGCTGCCATCAATAGGATTAAACAGCAACAATTCTGAGATGCAGGAAGCGTTTGTTTCTGTTGTATATAGGGTCACAATGAGTCCAAAGCAACTTGACAACATCTGACAAAAGATAAGGCTAAGCAAATAGAGAGAAAAGACACGACTTACCTGCACTGCCAAGCTGTTTATAAAACCTGTATTCTAAATGAAGCTGTGGTGCACGTGATTTTATTGGTTCCTGAAATCCAAGAAAAGTAATTGTGATCAGATTTAAACAAGAGAGATTTTTTTTTCCATTCCTAAATTTTCAGAGTAAACCATGACTAAGGATTACATAATGTTTTCAAGATCATATCCAAATGTGATTGCATTTTTTTACCACAAATTCTCTTTGAAAGAACAGCTATAGAAGATGAAGCTAGATTACATACAATCCCTTCCAAGGAAATTTAAATGAAAATCGACTTTCTAATTTAGCTAAGTGACTTACTGGATAGGTCCCTTCCCATGATATAGTCTCCTGAAACATATTCTCCTAGGAAACCAGATACCAAACTCTTCTGAACAGCAGCATGCATTTCTTTCTTATTTTATTATGAATTTTGGATGGTAAACAGTTTTATTTTATTTTATTTTTTACATGATGGATGCATGCTCAATATAAAAAAAATTAAATCTAAAAAGATGAAAGTAAAAATACTTCTGAAATTCTGTCACTTAAAGAGAACCACTATTAACGGTGTCAATGTTTCCAACTGTTTCTTTACATATGTATTTATAATGATACATAAACATTTTATAGAAATCAGATCATACTAGATTTGTTGTAATATAATGTCTCTTTCTTTGAACTCAATGATGTGATAACATCTTTCCATGGCAGTAAGTGGTGGTGGTTATGTGCCATGGAGTCGGTTCCGACTCATAGCAACCCTGTACAGGGTTTCCAAAGCTGTAAATCTTTACGGGAGCAGAAAGCCTCATCTTTCTCCCGTGGAATAGCTAGTAGTTTCGAACTGCTGACCTTAAGGCTCTCAGCCCGACCTGTAACCACTACCCTACCAGAGCTCCTTATGGCAGTATGTAGAGCTATGTATTATTTTAAATGTGTGTAGTATTCCTTTGTATATATGTAAATACATAAGCGTGTGACTATAATTGTTAGATATTTGGAATTGTTTCCAGTTTTCAAAATACAAATAGTGCCATTAAGAATATCATTGTGAATATTTGCTTCTACACTCAGAAAAATTAAGGTTTGTAAATACAATGAAATGGAATAGAAAGATAATGGTATTTTTCCAGGAACTTTTTGAAGTCCCTTTGTATATAACTTTGTTCAACGTGAAGTTTTCAACAGATCTCAGATATATAGAAGCAACAGTCACACTTTGCTACAGTCTACATTCCTAGTGGGCACTGTGGGCTAATAAGTCAGACTGCAAAGTCATTTGAACTGCAAGGTCAGTGGTTCATGCCCACCAGCGGCTCCTTAGAAACATACAGAGTAGCTATGGGTTGCAACTGACTCAGTGGCACTTAACAACAATACTTCAAGAATGGGCTGGTTAATTATTCTGTATTGACAATGTACCAGACAACTAGCTAAGACAACCAAACATTACCCTCAAAGATATAATCTCCTTATAGGATCAACCCTTCAACGTAAATTATCGGCAAAATGATCACAATATTATTATGATGTCACTTTTAAAATTCAGCATACACAATTATCTAATATTATTTATAGGTATCTTAACTATTTTTAGAAAAAAAGACCTGTCAGCTCTGTTTTAAGACCTTTATCCTTAAAAGCACGTGCCAAAGACAGATACAAATAATAAATAAACACAGGGACAAGAGTGCCTTTGGGAAGTGATTTAATTCATTTCCCTAGTTCTAAGCAAATCAGGTGCTTACTCATTCTAAAGACTGCAAGGAAGCATATTCCACTGTCTCCCTGGATAATTAATGCTGGGGTTTAACAAGTTTTATGGTTTAGGTCTATATTTCAGTCAAATTTCCACCATTAAAACTTAGGTCTATTGCTCTTCTGTCCTCAATAACAAGATAAGCAGCTCTGCGATAATATGTGAATACTGTAAGTGCTATCTCCAATAACAAAACCAGTTAATCATTTATTAGACTTCCTTTCTCCAGGCAAAGTCATTTCAATTCTTTTAACCTTTCCTCACTGATCCTATTTTTTAGTTCTTTGATCATCTTTGAAGGCTGTTTCTTGAACTCACTTGACGTTTCTATACTTTTCTTAAAACACAGAATCCATAAATCAGAGGATATAGTTTTCTTAAAGTTATCTAGTCTATCCCACTTCAAGGAAGGTTTTATATCTAAATCAATTCAAGCAGTCTAGAATATTTCACATCACTAAAGAGTCGACTCAATGGCACTTAAGAACAACAAAGAGTTATATAAAAGAACACATGCTCTTCTTTGATTGTAAAATCAACAATCATCCAAGTTTCTCAAGATTCTTGTAGTCAGAATAAGACTAATTATATTGTAGAGTCATTTCCTTAGTCATTTAGCTCATCAAATGGAAAGGGATCCTTCTGAAAAGCCTCCATTTGCTTGTAGTTCTCCTACTAGATCACTATCAAAGTAGCAAGTCACAGAACTTGTCCTACTAAGAATTAGAATTGTTGTTGTTAAGTGCCATCGAGTAGGTTCTGACTCATAGTGACCCTGAACAGAGTTTCTGAGAAGCAGCTGGTGAGTTTGAACCACCGAATTTGCAGTTCAAACCGACCTTGCAGTCCAGTGCATTAACCCGCAGTACCACACCAGGACTCCAAGAATTAGAATTAGTGTCTTAATAATCACTAATAACAAGGAACCAAGCAGAAAGAGTGATGATAAATCAAACTGGAACCCAATAGTGGTTGACACAAACACCATATAGAGGAAACAGTCTTTGGTTTCTGACCAACCACAAAGGACAGTAAATGTAGAAACCATGTAACCTTGCTCAAACAGAATATTCTCAAATTTTATATTGGGAAAACTTAATGGAAACTATTCAACTGGATCTTAAATTAATTAAACAAGTTGATTTCTTTCTTTTCCCTCCACAAAGACGGTAAAATTCTTTACAGAATTTGTGGCAAAAAAGTCGTCCCGTATCTCACATATACTGATACATGAGAGGCTTTTAGCTAAAAATAGAAGGACTAACACCCATCAGTCAAGCCCTTCAGCACAGGATGCAGTCTGCAAGTCAAGTGAAACTTCCAGGCGCTTTTCTGGAAGCACTCTGAATAGAAGGTATAGCAAGCATTCCAAAAGTAGGACAGCAATATTAGGCAAATGGAGAGAAAAACATTCTTACAACTGTTAGAAAACTTCTTAAAAAGGCCCTGAAAATCTAGATAATAGGTAAAAGAGGGACTATTCACATTACTTTCTTTACTTTGTACATGATGTTTTCTTCCTTAAATATAAGAAAAATAAATATAAGACCCTAGAAGTCCTGAAGGGGAAAAAAAAAAAAAAAAGACCCTGGAAACCCAAGAAATAGGAGCCCACAACAAATATCCAAAAAAAGTCAATTTGACTTTCTCAGCATAGTTTTCTTGCATTTCTGTGCCAGATGTCGATTACATTTCCATAGAGGGCTGGCCATTTGCCAGAGTCACGGTTATTCTGGAAAACACATGCCTGCTTGAAATCCTAAACCGACAACAGACAGCTACCTTGTAGGAGTGTAATGCTTGAGGCATATTTTGCTGTTACAATGAAGAGAGCTCAATTACGGTCTTCACGTCTCCCTTGGAGAATACAAGTCCAACAGCAAGAGAGGAGGCCCATAGACAAAATGGCTAGGCTCTAAAACGCCTTTCAAACTTATTTCAAAGAAAAATGAAGTATTGAGACATACTATACTTCTAGTATTGGCCATACAATGTTTAATAAATTGAAGGAGAAATGCCAACAGTCCATCATGCCCAGTCATTTTCAAATTATTTTATCTTTAAAGGTAGCATTTGTGAAAGGTAAGTTGTTGTTGTTATGTGTCGTGTGTGAAAGGTACAGAACTAAAATAATAATTCTTCCTACATTTTTTTTCCCCTCCAGCTATTTTTCAAACAATTAAATATTGGTTCATCAGAGATAACACTTCATCTTACAGAGTTAGCTTCATCTTATAATTTAGTGTTACATAGTATATAAGGGTTTATAGTATTACATAGTACATAAGAGTAATTCAAAAAGTATGCTACATAAATCACAGAAACTTTTATTAAACAAAACTATCTAAATGTGAAGCTACTGTTCCTCCAATTAGGTCTATACACTTCTCAATGTGTTTCTGTCTCATACCTTCCCTGAAGAATTCTCAACACTTTAGTCTATACCACACCAAAAGGGCCGTTTTGGCATCCTCGAGGAACTCAAATCATGTTCTTTTTCAATGCTCTTTGAATTTAGAGAACAAAAAGAAGTCTGAATGGGTAAGATCAGTGCGACAGTGCGGATGGAGTAAAGTTTCCCAACAGTCTCCTAGGACAGCCCTTACTACTACTACCAAAAAATTCTTAGGCACAACTTTTCTAACCTTTTTCTTGCCAGTGTAGTTCTCAATTTTCTTAAAACTTCTTAATAATCCCCTGTGATCATACCTGTGTCCTTCAAGAAAAATCTATCAAGGTAATTCCTGACGGATCCTAAAAAACAATCCCCATACTATTCTAATCTGTCTTCTCTACCTTGAATTTAACTGGCCCAGAAGATCCCCTTGGAAGCTAATTTTTATAGGACCTTGTTCTCTGGATTGTGTTGGTAAATTCAAGACTAATCCTCAGTTAAAATTCATTCCATAAAATCATCTTCATCTACTTTGATATACACCTTCAAAGACTGTTAGAAAGATCAGCTTTATGAGCTACCTGATCTTTGTACAACTCTTCAGGCACCCATTGAGCTACAAGCTTACTGAGGCAAAGATGAAAGCTTCTAACTGAAAATGCTGAACCATGTGAGATCCCAACTTCAGTAGTTATCAAATTAGTGATAATTCTATGGTCTTCACCCACCAGTTTCTGGAATTTTTTCATTTCTTTACTCATTGAGGGCTTGACTCATCTCTGAGGTCTTCCTTACCTGCCTTACAATAATTGATCCATCTAAAAACTTGTCTTATGTGAGGCAGCATTTCTCTAAACTTGCTGCTTCCGTGATTTGGGATGATGTCCACTTGAGTTTTGTTGAAAACTTCATATTAACCCCGGCCTCAAAATTGTGTTTTTCCAAGAAACAAAAAAAATCTCTCTCTTTTTCAAAGCACCCTAAGGAGACTAAGACCAGCGTATTACTGAGAGAACTGGTCTGCAGCCACCCATTCATCTGAGAGACATGCTGAAATTCATTTTGTTTGGAATGAATCTGTGCATGTATGAACTGGAACCCTACTAACAATACTTTTTTACTTCCCCTTGGTACAGTGAGTCATCACGGCAATATCGTAAGTTGTTAAGTGCTGTCAAGTTGGTTCTGAATCATAGTGACCCTGTATAGGAATTCCAAGGGGCAACCAGTGGGTTTAAAATGTCAACCTTGTGATTAGCAGTTCAGTTAATTCTACAGCATCACACAGGATACCACTGTTGTTGTCACGTGCTGTCGAGTCGATTACAACTCACAGTGACCCTGTGTAGTTTCCAAGGAGCAGATGGTGAGATTGAACCACCAACTTCCCCCAACAACAGATTCTCACAGCCCAGAGCATTAGCCTGCAGTCACACACTGGGACACCAATGGTTGGTGGTGGTTGTATGCCATGGTGTCAGTCCTGACTCATAGCAAGCCTGTATAGTGTTTCCAAGGCTGTAAATGTTTATGGGAGCAGAATAGTTGGTGGGGAAAAAAATCAGCATTAGTATTTTTGTACATGATTACAACTATTTCCTATAAAAGGATATGTGAAGACGGAAGACAACAAAACATAATTACTACAAATATAGATTCTACTTACCAGTTTGATTGCTACATATTCATTGGTGTAGAGATTTTTACCTAGGGAAAAAGCAGAATGTTTATGCTTTAGTAACATTTATTCTGGGAAATGCAAAGCAAAACCTCAGCATACAGGGCCATGAGAAAGGTCACATTCCCAATGCTGTTCACATATATGAAACATGATGTATATAAGTTAAAAACGAAACAAAGATAATGAGCTCTAGCAAGTATAAAACAAAACAAGCTTGGTAAGTTAGAAATTAAAGTTAGATGAGAGTTTTCCTCCCCCACTCCCCACCAAAAAATAAGAGAAAATAATTTTCTCTCTTTCTAACACAAATACACATACAACAACACATTTCTTATTTTGCAACTATTAAGCCAGGAAACAAACAAGAAAGGAGAAATGTTGGAATTTATAAGATACGGTAACTTTAATTCGTAGCACAAACCCACATTTTGCAAACTCAATGACAAATACGGATTTTCATAGTTGTTTGTTTGTTTTTGTAATGGTATTTGATATTAACATTTCAGGATATAATGGACTGAATAAAATAAAATTATTACCCATGCCTCCTCTTGGAGAACTCATCTACTGCCTGTAAATAAAAGATTCTCAGAGCTGTTTTGATTGCTCCCCAGAACTCTAGAGCTCTTTATCTTTATGTCCAGGAAACAGGGCTGCCCCTATGCTTCACTATCATCTCCAAAGGTCTTCTTAGAGTGATAACAACTCTCCCCTTTCAACTTCCCCACTTCTATAAATGGAATCAAAATAATCCTAGACATCTAGGCTAAGGACCTGGAGCGATGATGGGATGACGATGAAAGCAACAACTAACACTTACTGAGTCCACATTACAGGTTTGGTACTTAGCTTCTCCTCCCCTCACAACAAATTCTTGAAGTTGTAACTTTAAGTCTTCCACAGCATTTAATGTATGAGGGAGCTTCAAAAAAGTTATTGGAAAAAATTCCATTATCTTTTCATTCATTTTTTTAAAAAAACTTCTTACTGTGAATTGAGTGAAGGTTCACTGACAAGAGCATCAGTTTTACATTCAACAAATCACACACTTGGTTGCATTTCAATGACTGCAGTCTCCTCCATGCAAAAACAGTTATCCCGCTTCCTCCCTGTGGTTCCTATTTCCATTCCACCCACCTTCCATCCCTTCTCAACTTTGTCTTTAGTAAATGTTGTCCTTCTGATTTTGAAAGACTGACTGTTTCATCATAGATAGTGAGCATACCTTACTAGTTTTAATTTATTTTTTCCACAAACTTTTTATAGTCACTACATATGACTTCACATTGCTTTTTAGTGTTTCTTGCACATTTGACCTATCTCATCCAGCTAGATATAAATATCTTGAGGATAAGGATTTATTCTAAGAGATCTCTCAATGCCCTATGGTGCTTAAGACCATGTTCAGGACACATCAGATACTCAGAAATTAGACTGACCAAAAGTTATTGATATGTACACAGACACCTTTTAAATGCCACCACACACAAGTAAATGTTATGCTGATGGATTTGAACTGCCAACCTTGTGGTTCAAAGTCCAGTGCTGATCTTACAGCGCTATGCAACTAATTATATATGTATGTATGTATACATACATATTACAGAAAAAATATAAAGATGTACATTAAAGAGTTAAAATAATTTTTTATTATTATTTGGATTTTTATGTAATACACACTGTTTTAATTTTTAAAAATTCTCATTTTGGGAACAAAACTGCTTATAATACAAGCTCTCATTTTTAACAAGCAATAAACACTAGATGCCATTTGCAAGCTATTTTTTTTTTTTTTTTTCACATTGATACTTATAATACTACTATCAGGTTGCCAAATATCTCTATGTATCAAAGGAGTAAACAAATTTAGGAAGAACTTCGTCTGCAAATAGAACAGTAAGGAGTACTCACAGGTCACCAGACAAACAACTAAGAAACCATTCTAAGAAGAGCAGTGTATTTTTTAAAGAAGCACAGGTAGAAAATTAGCATTTCCCCTGTATATATTTGTTGCAAAAAGCTTCTAAAAGTTAATTGCTTTGGGATTACTGCTGCCACATAAAAATAATTGTATATAAAAGGGCAAGTCAGAAAATATTGGTATACCTCACTTATAACCTAACCTTGATGGCCTGATAATCAGAACTTGACTAGAGGAAGATAAAAAAAAGTATATATTTTTATAAAGAAAAGACCAAGCTCAGAATTTCTCAAGTTGAAACATCTGATGAAAACCTTCAAACCTCAAAAACAGGCATAGTTAATCTTACAGTCCAGAAACAAAGGACCCTAGAACCATCAAGGGAGAAGAGCACAAGCAGAATGTGGGACCTTATCCATAGAAGCAGTGATACCAGAGAGGAGGCAGAGATGGAGACATGGAGAAAGGGAGCAGCTGAGGACTCTAGATTCATGGGAAGAGAGGGACTAAAAGATGGCAGCTAGGAGGGTGACTTGCAGAATGTGCCCTTTGGTGGTGTGAATTATTATTAAAAAAAAAAAAAGAGCTAAAGTGAATAGAGAGAAATACTGTTAACTGATGGTCCGCGGAGGGGATTATAATCATTGTAATAAAACAAGGTGTATGATATGTTGAATGTAAAACTGATGATCTGCCCTGTAAACTTTCACTCAATCCACAATAAAAACTTAAAATAAAAAGGAAAACTTCAAACCTCAACTAGAAATACCAAAGGATTATATAGGCAAACTGTTACAGGTTTGTTATTTTTTCTGGTGCATTTACCCACAGCATCACACGTATAGCACCACACCAAATTCATGCACCAACCACCAAAGCCAGTGAAAATGAAACTGAAGAATTCAACCAACTTCTTAATAGTCTGAAATTAGATTAGAATGCAAAGGTTGGAAACAAAGAAAAAGGATTAGTAGTTGGAAAATATGGCCTTGGTGATAGAAATGATGCTGGAGAGCCTATGATAGAATTTTGCAAGATCAATGACTTCTTCACTGAAAATACCTTTTTAAAACAACATAAGAAACCATTACACACCTGGACTTCACTATATGGAATACACAAAAAGCAACTTGACTACATCTGTAGAAAGAGACGGTGGAAAAGCTCCACATCACTAGCCAAAACAAGGCCAGAAGCAGACTGAAGACCAGACCATCAATTATTCATATGCAAGCTCAGGCTGAAGCTGAAGAAAATTAAAACAAGTCCATAAGAGCCAAAATACGACCTTGAACATATTTCACCTGAATTCAGAAATAATCTCAAGGACAAATTTGATGCATTAGACACTAATGACTGAAAACCAGAAGAGTTCTGGATGACATAAAAAACATCATACAGGAAGAAACCAAAAGGTCATTAAGAAAGAAAAGATCAAAATGTCAGAGACTACCCACTTGTCCTGGCTTCAATGACTGGATGATCAGAGCTCAACCAGAAGTAAAAAGAAGAGGGGAAAGAAAAAAAAAAGTATTCTCATACAATTTGATGAACTTGACCTACACCTATGGATGCAGTAGCTCAAAAGAGGGAACAAGTCCTTACAGCAAGAATCATTCCCACCCCCTCCACACACAGAGTAGACAGGGATGGGCAACTTGGACATTGGCTACACAAAATGGGGGGCGGGGGCTACAAAGGCAAGAAGTGACTGGCTTATAAGCTTTCAAGAGGGAACCTAGATCCAGAGGGCCTGGAGGAAGGTAGAGTCTCCAGTGAGTAGTATTCAATCTGACTAGCCGGGGCTGATGCAATGAAATGCAGACGGGTCTCTTGTGATATAATTGTGAATAATTGTTATCAGGACTGATTGTGAGGGTTGGAAATGTAAAGGTAGACGTTTTATAGCAAGGAGGGGAGTGATTAACTTTTCAGTCTAGGAGCGGAGGTCCCTAGGACCATCAAAGGAGAAGAGCAGAGAGCGGGAGCCTACCCAGAGAAGCAGTGATGCCTGAAATGGAGCCAGACATGATGACGCGGAGCGATGGAGCAGCTGGAGACTTTAGATCCAGAGAGGGAGAGTGACTGTGTGCTGAAGACCTGGGGATCACAGGGGAAGGACTGCATGGAGGGGATTGTAACCATGGCAATAATATGATATTCAATAGAAAGAATGTAAAACCAATGTTCTCCCATGTAAACTATCACATAATTCACAATAAAACATTAAAAAAAAAAAGTCAGACGCTCTGAAATTTGCTCTCCAGCATAGAGATGTGGAGGTAAAAGAGCTGAACAGAATATTTCAAAGGTCAGCTCAAGAAGACATAGTTAAATAGTATAATCAATGTATAAAGATCTGATGTTAGAAAACCAAAAGGTAAGAACACTCTCAGCATTTCTGAAGTTGAAAGAACTGAGTAAAAAATTCAAGCCTAGACTTGTAATACTGAAGGATTCTTTGGGCAAAATACTGAATGGTTCAAAGAGCATCAAAAGAAGATGGATGGAATACACAGAGGCACTGTACCAAAAAAAAAAAAAAAATGATGTTCAACCATTTCAAGAGGTAGCATATGATCAAGAGCCAATGGTACTGAAAGAAGAAGTCCAATCCAATGTGCACTGAAGGCACTGGGAAGGAACAAGGCTACGGGTGCTGATGAAATACAATTAATATCTTTCAACAAACTGATGCAGCACTGGACGCACTCACTCATCTATCCCAAGAAATCTGGAAGACAGTTATCTGGCCAACTGACTGGAAGATGTCCATATTTGTGCCCATTCCAAAGAGAGGTAACCCAATGGCATGCAGAAACCAAAGGACAGTATCATTAATATCACATGCAAATAAAACTTTGCTAAAGAAAATTCATAAATGGCTGCAACAGTACATTGACAGGAACTGCCAGGGGTTCAAGTCAGATTCAGATGAGGATGTAGAATGAGGGACATCACTGCTGACAGCAGACGGATCATGACTGAAAGCAGAGAATACCAGAAAGATGTTTATCTGTTTTATTGACCTAGCAAAGACTTATGTGGATGATGACAAGTTATGGACAACACTGACGAGAATGAGTATCCCGGAACTCTTAATCA